GGTTAACATAGAAAAGCAAAGCACATCAGCATCAAGCCCCCGGGGAAGACCCAGGACATGCTGGAGAGACTATATGTCTCGGCTGGCCTAGGAACGCCTCAGGATTTCCCCAGAGGAGCTGGAGGAAGTGGCTGGAGAGAGGGAAGTCTGGGTTTCCATGCTGAGACAATTCTGTTGTGCAATGGTTTTTGAGTTTGTTAATGTTTGAGCTCCCTGAGATTCCTGGCTGTCAAGAAATGTGACGTGTGCCTCGTGAATGGGTTTATATTCTTATGTTCATGTGTGTCTTTAGTCTATTGGCTATTTTGATTTGTACCAGGCACACTATTAAAATTAAAATTAACTAAATTAGAGGGAAAAAAGGTCAAAACTAAATAAAACTAAACTATAATGAAAAATCCAAAACTATTATAACCTTGATGCATGTGTACCATGATTAATTTATCACTTTTACTTTGTAGGAAAAGGAGAGTGCCAACCAATAAAAAAATCTGACTTCAATGTGGTCATGGTCTGACTTAAAATTATTTTAATGAGTGAAACATTGGTTTGTGATTGCATCTCTCACTGCGCATTCTGTGGGGTGGTCGAGGGTCACAGGGTCAACAATGTCTGGAGGCATGGGCAGCGGAGTAGGGGTCTTTTCTTTCCTAATAGTTGCAATATTATGTAGCACCACACATGCTGACACCACCTGACAGGCCCTCTCTGGCCGTACTCCTAGGCCTTTGAGGCAAGTAAAACATGCCTTTAGAATGCCAAATGTCATTTCTATCCTGACCCTTGTTAGGCTGTGGGCAGCATTGAATTGTATTTGGGGCCTTGTTAGAGTGTCAGGATAAGGAGTTACCAAGTGCTTCAGGCATGGGTATCCCCGGTCCCCCAGCAACAGGCCATCAAAGGGCCCTTTGAAGAAATGGAGAGCAACTGTCACACGCAAGTTTGTGTAACAAAATCTCTAGAATACTGATTGCCTTACCTTCTTCAAATCTTTGAGAAAGAATGGACTCCTTAAAAATGCTGGAGTCATGTACTGAGCCTGGCCACCATGCGTCCAGGCTTGTGACCATTAACTGGTGATCACATATCATCTAAGGATTGAAAGCCATTCCAAAGCTTATTCTGCTATTCTAAAGTCATGTTCATATGACACACAGAAGTTGAGCCAGTGTTTCACAATCAAATGATTTACAATAGGACTAAACATAGGCATATGTAGTGAGGAAATTACTAGGAACCTGTCTAACTTTAAAGAAAAGTGAAATACAGTGGTATCTCAGTAGGCGTCCTTAATCCGTTCCAGATCCTTGGACTTATACCTAACAGGACATATACCAAACAATTTTTTCCCATAATTAATAAAAGGGGAATGATTAACCCCTTCCCATGGAAACAAATTCTATTGTTCTTGGCATATTATACTTTGATGTTGTATGAAATAATCTAAACACTGCTTAATACTAAGCTCCATGAATGCAGAAGCAATTATATGAAAAAACTGATAATTTAACCTCACTTTACCTTGCTGGAAAAACACGAAAAAACACAAAAATCACATAGAAATTCAGAGAGTTACAGTATTTAGTAATTATACTTGAGTCTGTATTTCTTAAATAACATTCTTTTTCA